TAGTTCCTTGACCCTGGGTCCTCAGCAGTGAAAGCGTGGAGTCCTAAGGACTGGGCCACCAGGGAATTCCCCCGAAAAAGACATTTTAAAAGATAAGTTGGGAACTTTGAACATGTATTGGGTGTTGGTTGATTGGGATTTGCTCCAAAACATTCCAGCAGAATAAGGTAGAGTTGGGGAGAAGGATGAAAAAAACATGGCAGAATGTTTTTAGTTGTTGAAGCTTTTTGATGGGTGCATGGGGTGGGGGGCTTGTTATACTCTGTTTTTGTGTATGGTTAGACATTTTCCAAGTTTAAGAAAAGGGAGAAACTTATGACCACATGACAGGAGTAATGTATCAGGAACACCCAAGAAATAATTTCATTTCATGGAGTGATCATATGAAGTAGTCTTCTAACAGAAATGAAAGTATTTAGGAAAACTCCTGTGTTCTGTCTGCTCACAGAATACTCCTCTGGCACTCTGGTCCTAAGTTTGTTGTTGGGGGGTTTTCTTATACAAAGCAATTTGGGATCATTTCTAATACGTTTATATATATTATATATATATTATATATATATATATAAATATATATCTGTTTCTTTCTTTATTCATTTAGCTGCACTGGTTCTTAGTTGCCACACTTGGAATCTTTGATCTTCACTGCAGCGTGTGGAATCTTTTTTAGTTGCAGCATGCAAACTCTTAGTTGCTGGCATGTGGGATCTAGTTCCCTGACCAGGGATCGAACCTGGGACCTTTGCATTGGGAGCACAAAGTTTTAGCCACCAAACCACCAGGGAAGCCCCAGTTCTAACACTTTTTCCTGGAGTTAGCATCAGATCCCACAGTTAATGGCACAGTCCCACAAGATTCCCCCTACCCCCTCTTAGATACCAGTTACAAGTCCAGGGTGTTACCTGTGTTTCTTAACAACTGGCTATAAATCAAAAGATTCCCATGACCCTTCCACAGATTTGATTAATTTGTTAGAACAGCTCACAGAACTCAGAAAAAAACTCACTCAGTTATAAAAGGATGTAACTTAGGAACAGCCAGATGAAAGATATGCAAAAGGCAAAGTTTGTGGTAAGTGGTGTGAGCTTCCATGCCCTTTCCAGACCTGCTACCCTCCCAGCACCTGCACATGGTCTTTATCCCAGAGTCTTTCTGAACCTCATCCTTTTGGCGTTTCTGAACCTTCATTTCACTGGTGTGGTTGATTCAGTTTTGGTTGTTGGTGATTCTCTCTCTAGCTCTTCCCTTCTCCAGAGGGGTTGGGCTGGAAGTTTCAAACTTGGTTCCTCTGTCAACCAGCCCCTATCCTTAGGGACTTCCCAAAAGTCACCTCAAACCCAAACTCAGGTATGGTTGAAAGAGGCTTGTTATGAATAACAAAAGATACTTTCTGTCTCTTATCACTTAGAAAATTCCAAGGGTTTTAGGAGCTGTGTGCCAGGAACCACGGAAAAAGACCAAAATACATATTTATTATAAATCACAATATCACAGTGTTATTGAGTAAGGTATAGTGATGAGAAAAAAGGCAAGTGCTTTTCAGGAAAAAATGAAGGAAATAAAAGTGAATCAAGGAAGAAAATGATGAGAATAGAGAAATTAGGATTCCTAATTAGCAATTAGGAGTCAAGGAAAGAATGCTGTGCTTGCAATTCTGGTGACTAAAATGGCAGTGTTGCTTTCTTTTAGAAGAATATAATGTAATTTTCATAGTTACTAAAAAGTCATAGTTACTAAAAAGATGGCAGAGGAATAGAATGGGGAGACCACTTTCTCCCCCACAAATTCATCAAAAGATCATTTGAATGCTGAGCAACTTCCACAAAACAACTTCTGAACACTGGTGGAGGACCCCATGCATCCAGAAAGGCAGCCCATTTTCTTCGAAAGGAGGTAGGACAAAATATAAAAGACAAAAAGAGAGACAAAAGAGTTAGGGATGAAGCCCTGTCCTGGGGAGGGAATGGTGAAGGAGGAGAAGTTTCCACACAGTAGGAAACCCTCTCACAGGTGGGTCTGTGGGGAGGCAACGTAACTGGGAGAATAAAAAAAGAAGCCCACAGAATACAAGCCTAACCACTACTGCGGAAAAGAGAACTTTCCCAGAAAGGCTATAACCTAACAACCTAACAACCAGGTTCTGTGAGCCTGGCCTGCTCACAGAACAAAGGATTGAGCGAATACCAAAGGAGAGCTAGCTGTGTAACGGCCCCTCCCTTCCTGGAGGCAGAGAGGCAGGCTTGCAACAACCAGAACCGGAAAGCAAGGGGCTGCCACCAGAACTTCCACAGGACTGGGGACACAGACTCTTGAAGGGCACAAACAAAACCTTGTGCACATCAGGATCCAGGAGAAAGGATTAGTGACCCGACAAGAAACTGACCCAGACATGCCCGTGAGTGTCCAAGAATCTCCGGCAGAGGCGTGGGTTGCCGGTGGCCTGCTGCAGGGTCAGAGGCACTGAGTGTACCAGGGCGTGCATGGGACCTTTGAAGGTCATCATTGTCTTCATTACCTCCACCGAAGTTTGGCCTCAGGTCAAGCAACAGGGAGGGAACACAGCCCTGCCCATCAACAGAAAATTGGATTAAAGATTTACTAAACATGGCCCTGCCCATCAGAACAAGACCCAGTTTCCCCCTCAGTCAGTCTCTCCCATCAGGAAGCTTCCATAAGCCTCTTATCCATCAGAGAGCAGATAGAATGAAAACCACAATCACAGAAAACTAACCAAACTGATCACGTGGACCACAGCCTTGTCTAACTCAACGTAACTATGAGCCATGCCACTTTACTATGAGTAAGGCCACCCAAGATGGACGGGTCATAGACAGGTCATGTTTCTGACAAAATGTGGTCTACCAGAGAAGGGAATGGCAAATCACTTCAGTATTCTTGCCTTGCGAACCCCATGAACAGTATGAAAAGGCAAAAAGGTATGATGTTGAAAGATGAACTCACCAGGTTGGTAGGTACCCAACATGCTACTGGAGAAAAATGGAGGAATAACTCCAGAAAGAATGAAGAGATGGAGCCAAAGCAAAAACAACAGCTAGTTGTGGATGTGACAGGTGATGGAAGTAAAGTCCAATGCTGTAAAGAGCAGTATTGCATAGGATCCTGGAATGTTAGGTCCAGATATCAAGGCAAATTGGAAGTGGTCAAACAGGAGATGGCAAGAGTGAACATTGACATTTTAGGAATCAGTGAACTAAAATGGCCTGGAATGGGTGACTTTAACTCAGATGACCATTATTTATATCTACTGTTGTGGGCAAGAATCCCTTAGAAGAAATGGACTTAGCCATCATAGTCAACAAGAGTTGAAAATACAGTACTTGGATGCAATCTCAAAAACGATAGAATGTTCTCTGTTCGTTTCCAAGGCAAACCATTCAATATCACAGTAATCTATAGAGTGCAGATTCTTGACTGTAACTCTGTACTGCCTCTCAGCAAAACAATGGTTTGACCCCATGAACTGAAGAAGGTTAGCTCTGTCTCTCTCTGGTCATGACTGGATACAGGGGCTCACACAGTGCTGAACAGACCCAGACTGTCTCCGTGCCAGAGTTGCCAACACCTCTGTTCTCTCCCAGGTTCTGACAAAAGTTCTGGAACTCAATCTGATTGGCTTGACTTGGGTCACTTGCCTGTCCTTGGGCCTTATGGACAGAAAGGTTAAACTAACACATTGATTGGTCAGGCCTGACTCTGTGCCCTCTTTTGGTGTTGGGGTACCCCCAGACTGAGCGCGCAAGGGAAGCAGTTACCTGACAGCTGCTTCCAAAGCCACGGGACTAGATGTTGGAGAGGCCACACTGCAGGTTCCGGGTGGAGCATGTCAGAGGATGTGATGGGGAACATATTTATGATCCTGGAAACACCTGCTGAATTGTTTTGTTTTCAGGGTTTTAACAGTTTATTATGTCTTCTATGAAGCCTTCAGTTATGTCTCTTAGTAAAGTTTCATAATTTCCTTTCTAGTGGCTGTGTGTATTTTTAACATTCTTAACCACTCTTTATTTTAGTTGCTACCGTGAATGAAATTTTGCTTATTTTTTTTGGCTATGCTGGGCCTTTGTTTGTGTGCGGGCTTTTCTCTAGTTGTGAGTGGGGGCTCTTCCTGGACCCAGGGATTGAACCAGTGTCTTCTGCATTGGCAGGCAGATTCTTTACCACTGAGCCACCAGGGAAGCCCAGGATGAAATTTTATTTGAAAGTTTTTTTCTGTAACATAGGAACACCCTTGATTTTTAAAATTTTTGTCTTATCTCCTGCTCTGTGGCTGGACTCAATAATTTTGATGTTTCAGTTGGTTTATTTGGGGTTTTTTGGTATATGTGATCCTGTCATCTATATATATCTTCTCCCTTCCAGTAGCTGTATATCTTGTTGCATTGAACATAGGTTTTACTTTTACTTTTTGGCCACGCCACATAGCTTGTGGAATCATCTCTGACCAGAGACTGAACCCAGTCTGTGGCAGTGAAAGCCCAGAAATCCTAACCACCAGACCACCAGGGAATTCTCTGACTATCAGCATAGGTTTTAATATATAAAACAATGAGCTTTAAGAATGAGCACCTTTTTTCTTTTTTTTTTTTAAGAATGAGCATCTTTGTTTTGGTCCTCATTTTAATGAGAATGCTTTGGATGTACTACTATTATTGATTATTAATTTTAATTAATTAGTTTTATTTTGTATGTGATGCATACTTACGGTAAAAAAATACAAACATTTCTGAATGCCCTAAGTTCACTTCTCCAAAGGTCATGCTTCTCTCTTCCAACTCCATCCCAGTCCCAGGTAGAACCACTATTAACTGTTTCATGTATCTGGGCAGAAAACCACAAGTAGATACACATACACAAACATACAGGGAAAATACACCTTTCTAGGCCTTTATATATGTACCCTTCATTCCCTCAATAGCATACCTGTTAATTACAATATTGGTTCTCAGTTTGAAAGAATAAGCCTACAGTTCCAAGGCATGACATGTTACACCTGATTCTTTATTCTGGGCAAGTGTGTCACTCGCAGGAAAGCCTTGCATGGTTTACAGCCTTTCCTTCTCCAGAAGAGTTATCTCCCCCCAGCCTGTTGGGGTATCACCCTCAAAGTAAGTCAGGGTTGCAGCTGGTGTCCATGGGCTGGCTGCAGAAGAGCTGTCCAGGGAAAGAAAGCGGGAAGAGTTCAGGGGTAATAACTTTTGCACATAGATGCTTCCATGATGTCTTGCCCTCAGCTCTTCAGTCAACATGCTGCCCTTGGCCTGGATTGGGGCTTTTATGTGGAGAGTAGCAACTGCTTTTTTTCTTCTTTCAACAGATAGGTACAGAAAGATTGTCCGCTTTGTGCCAGGCATTGAGAATGTGACTGGGAGCAGAACAAAAGACCCTGCCACATTCAGCTTAACTCCTAGGTAGTAGTGAAAATCACTCAGTCGTGTCTGACTCTTGTGACCCCATGGACTGTAGCCCGCAAGGTTCCTCTGTCCATGGGGTTCTCTAGGCAAGAATACTGGAGTGGGTTGCCATTTCCTTCTCCATAACTCCTAGTTAGGGAAGCAGACAAAAAATAAATGGCCCATACAAACATAATGTCAGGTAGTGAGAGGTACTATGAAGAGAAAGAATGATGAAGAGAGGTAGAAGAAAGACCTCTCTGCGGATGGAACATTGAGCAATGCCTGTCTGAAAAATAGAAGGATGCTCCAGATAGGGTAGTGGTTCATTTGCAAATAGGGTCAGGGTGGGCCTCCTTCAAAGGATTCTTGGCATTGTCTAAAAGTCCAGTGGTTAGGACTTGGCGTTTTCACTGCTGGGCTCTGGGTTTGATCCCTGGTTGGGGAATTGAGGTTCCACAATGTGGAATTTTGCATGGTACAGCCAAAAAAGTAAATAACCAAGTCTGGAGGGTTTTTTGTTTGCTTTTGTTTTTTTCAGGAATATTGTTCTTGAAAATTGGACTATACTTCCCAACCTCCCTTACAGCTAGGAGTGGTCACTTGAGTAAGTTCTGATTCATGAAGATGTAACTGGAGGTTTTGGATGAGACTATGAGGAAGTTTCCTTAGGGAAAAAGGGTGCTCCCTTTTCCTCACTCTCCCCAGTTTTTTACTCTCTAGAATGCAGGCACAATGGCTGAAGGTCATTTAATTATTTAGAACTGTGAGGTAATTTAAGTATGTAAGTCTTGCGTGAGGATGAAGAGCAGAAAGATGGGAACTGGGCTCCCTGTGATACCCAGGAGCCCTCATCCTAGCTCTGGACTGCCAAACCCTAGATTTATTTTCACCTTTGTTGTTCACATTGCTAAGTTGTGTCGGACTTACTGCAGCCCATTGGACTGCAGCACACCAGGCTTCTCTGTCCTCCACTATCTCCAGGAGTTTGCTCAAATTCATGTCCATTGAGTTGGTGATGCTATCTAACCATTTCATCCTCTTTCATCCCCTTCTCCTCCTGCCCTCAATCTTCCTCAGCATCAAGGTCTTTTCCAGTGAGTTGGCTCTGCATCTGGTGGTCAAAGTATTGGAACTTTGGCTTCAGCAACAGTCCTTCCAATGAATATTCAGGGCTGATTTCCTTTAAGATTGCCTGGTTTGATTCCTTGCTGATTTTCATCATAGAAAGAAGTAAACATTGATTTTATGTAAGCCACTGCATTTGTTGTTGTTGTTATGTGTAGATAAAATTAATCCTAATTGAAAGGAAGCAGGAAGATCAGTTAAGAGGCTTTTACAGTAATTCCAGCAAGAGATGACTGTAGCTTGGAATCGAATGGTAGCAGAGAGGGTAACTAGCAGCAGTTCTGCTTTTTTTTTAGTGTGGTAAACTATACATAGCATAAATATTGCCATCTTAAGAGTTTTGAAGCATACAGTGGCATTAAGTACATTAATATTTTTTGTAGCCATCAACCACTGTCCACCTCCAAAACTTCTTCATCTTCCCAAACTGAATCTCTGCCCATTGAGCAGTAACCGCCCCTCCTCCTTTGTCTACCATAATTGACATGGACTTAGTTCCTATCACTGGCCTTTCACTGTTTCATGTCCTGGATGATAGTTTATAATTATACTTACTAGTTATGTAAAGATGTATAGTAGTGTAGCTAAAATATAAAACTTCCTATGTGTGTTGCATGGTAATAAATTTTTGATACATTTTATTTTGGAAAGCAGACTGTAAAACAACATATGAAAGTAAAAGTTGCTGAGTTGTGTCTGACCCTTGGCAACCTCATGAAATATATAGTCCATGGAATTCTCCAGAATACTGGAGTGGGTAGCCTTTCTCTTCTCTGGGGATCTTCCCAAACCAGGGATTGAACCCTGGTCTCCTGCATTGCAGGTGGATTCTTTACCAGCTCAGCCACCAGAAAAGCCCAAGAATACTGGAATGGGTAGCCTGTCCCTTCTCCAGTGGATCTTCCCAATCCCAGGAATTAAACTGGGGTTTCCTGCATTGCAGGCGGATTCTTTACCAACTGAGCTATCAGGGAAACCCCAAAACAACATATAAAATGACCTAATTTTGGAAAAAAAGAAAAAAACAGTTTCAAATGTAGGCTGTATCGCAAACATGTAATCAGTGGTTATATCTATTTAGTAATATCTGACACTGTTTCTTTATTGAGCTTATCTTTTCCTGTTAAGTTATTTGCAGTGAATATGTATTACTGGTGTAAAAGTTTCTGTGGATCCCAGTGCTTGGCCTGTGAAGCAGGAGTTTAGAAACTGTGTCTGATGATATTGTTACCAGCAGTAAAGCAGCATGTCAGGGGCAGAATGTAATCTTGTCTGAATGATTAACGTTTGTTGTTGGCTCACCCACCCTTGGGCATGTGTTAGCTTTCTCTCCTCACTAGTTCTTTCTCCTGTACATAGCATGGCAGCTTCTTTGTGCTCTGGGTTGATACCAACTACAAAGAGATTATTGTTTTGTTAATTGCTTTAAAAAACAAAAAGTTTAAATACTCACTGTTAATCAGTTTTTAGGTCAGGCTATACATCTTAGTTTCATGGTTTTTACCATTTTTTTTTTTTTTGGTTGAGCTTGGTTTTTACATTTTCATACTGTAATTTAATCTCCATAAAGTACTTTCCATAGTCCAGGCATGGTTGGCTGCATTCTCTATTTCTCTGGAGACACATTTAGGTTCTTATATCACATTCCGTTCTGTTGGTTAGGTCATTATGTAATAACTGTGGAATTATCATAAGGACAAAAGATTGAGAACACTTGGAACCAACTGTAATGTTTAAGGTACAAGTAAGTTTTGAAGAGAAAGAAATGATTGAATGACTTTGGAATTTCTAATAAAAGCCGCCAATCCGGATTGACTTCATTTCATTCATTCTTGACTTTTAAACTGATCAGAAGTTTGACCCAAATGTTTGACACTATGGCATATGCGACATTTCTATTTGTTCTTCACTTTGCAGGGATATGAGAAAGATGATTTGTTCAGTGACTTTGAGTAGAAAATGAATTTAGACATTGTGTATATTGATGTGAAAATCACAAGGTGTGTCACAGATGGGGTAGACTTGGGCAGTCTGTAATTTCAACACGTGGGGATATAGTAAGGGCTGAGTAAGGCCGTGGCCCTGGAAGAGGAGTAACTAAAATTTTGAAAATATTCTAGGAAGGTAGAATTGACTCTGGTGGTATAGAAAGGGTGGTCTTTTGGGGCTCAAAACAGGATGACCTTAAACTAAAATCTGTTTTAATTAATAAAATAGAAAAATCACTGAAAAAAGGTTTCCTGGTTATATCCATAAAGATAACCCCCTATATAGGTCCATTTATAGAGGCATGGGAAAGTGAACATGTACCCTTTTCCTCCACCATCAGCAATTCTGAGAAAACAAGATTTTATTTCAGTAGATGCTCAATGGCTATTTACAATCCAGAATGCTCCATGGATATTTGGAAGCAGTAGTGGCAAGGTCACTTATTGTCTATATTCAGGAGTTGGGCTTTTATGAGGAATTTAAGTCATACCAAAATATTTCTTTCTCTCTCTCTCTTTCTTTTTTTCCCCTTCTTTTTTAAAGCTGTGCCACTGCATGGCATGTGGCATCATAGTTCCCTGACCAGGGATCAAACCCACACTTCCTGCAGTGGAAGTACAGAGTCCCAACCACTGGACTGCCAGGGAAATCCCCAAGATGTTTCTCTTAATGCAACTCTGATAAGAGCCTCATATTGTCCCAAATTCCATACAGTTGGGATGCTTTGAGATGAATGGTTTTTTTTTTTTTTTTAATTCAGATGCCAAGGGTAAGATTAAGTCTGATTGCTTTCTTCATAATTCTTGAAAGAGACTGATGGGCTGAAGGCCCACATAGATGTTTTGGGGCTTGGAATTCCTTAAGAGGTAAGAGAAGTTGCTCCTTTTCCCAAGCTCCATGTGCCCTCTCCCATTTTATCATTTCTGTTTGCAGCCAGTCTTAGCTGTTGTCTGCTATGCAAATCATGAACTTCAAGACTCCTGCCACCCTGAAGTGCCACAGGCACTTGCTAAGTTTGTTGCAGTACCTTTCCCACTGTCAGAGAAGACTGAGCCATGCCTCTCAGTCTTTGTTCATCAGGGTTCCTGCACAGGGGTCCCCTCCCCTTCGTGACATCCTTAGCCACTGTTGTGACTACCTCCTGGATCTTGTCATATGAAAATAGCACAGCCTGGTGGTTAGAACAGTTTTTGGAGTTAGACTCAGTGTCAAATCTCTACTGTACCTCTTATTACCTGCTTGACATTGGAGCAAGATTCTTTCTCTCTCTAAGCCTCGGTGTTGTTATCTGTAAAATGGATGAATTGCTCTCACCCCACAGCCTCACTTCACTGCATGTAAAGTGCTTGGTATGGGTTAAACACTCAGTAAATGTTAGCTCTTGATTGACTTGGAATTCTGTAGCTCCAGTGACATTTTAATCTCACTGACCACTCATTTGTCCTTCAGCTTGCTATATCTGTTCTGCATCTTCATGGGATCCCGTGATCCAGGAAATGGTCTCCCTGTGGAAGAGAAAGTTGAGACACCCCTGGTCCGGTGGTTAAGACTCTGCACTTTCAATGCAGGGGCCATGGGTTCAGTTCCTGGTTGGGAAACTAAATTCCCACATGCTGCTCTGCCACTATATAAGTAAATAGATGCAACTTTAAAATTAAAGAGAAAGTAACTGTCCTAGGCCCTTGGGTCACATGTTTTCAGGTTCATAACTTTGGAGTCTCTATTGCTTTCCAGGTTTCTCAGGAAGACCCTAAGGACTGGCACATTCCTGGGTCAGGAAGAATGGAGCCTGTGACAGGAAGGAAACTGGGCTAAGACAGGAGATATTGTAGAGAAAAGGTGGGCAGAGGCAGGCTGGAGGTTGAGCTCAGTCCTCTCTCCAGAGAAGGTGGTATTTGTACTTCTGTTACTTAGATACACTTGCAGAATAGCTATTCGTTCTTTAGATAGCTTTTCCAAGGTTCAGAGTAACCATCATTTTGATTGGCGTTTTAGTGAATTGCTTACAACACAAATATTTTGTTACAACCATAATTTGTGCTCCATACCTCATGAGCGGGGGGAGGGAGATGCTGAGGTCTTGTTTTTTCCACTTCTTATACATAAGGAAGAAATTTAAGTTAGACGTCTCATCCAAGGTCAAGCATGTGAGAAGTGGTGGTGGCAACATTCTGAAGGTGCCCCTTCTAAAACTGACCACCATCTCTCCCCATTTATTCCTGCAGCAGCGGCGTCCTCTTTCCACCACTCTGCCCTCAACAGCAAGAGGACCCTCCCCAGCCCCCAGCCTGCCATCGGCAGCATGATGAGAGTGTCCTCTTCCAGGCCCAGGACCCTGCGTCAGGCCTTCAGAGGCCATTCCTAGAACTTCCCTTCAGAAGGGACAGACGGGATACTCACCTTGTTCCCGTGCTCTTGTCCTCAGAGAGCCTTTTCCTTCCCACCTCGCCCCTCAGTGTTCCTTCTCCAGTAGCCCCTGACTTTGCACATCTACTTATTGTCCCCCACTGTTAGAAGGTAACCCTCAGAAGGACAGTGACTTGTTCACTGTATTTCTTGTGTTATCCTCTAGCTTTTTTTGTGCTTTGTACGTATTACACATTTGTTGGAAGAATGAGTGACTCAGTTGTGTCTGTCAGAAGCTGAAAGAATGTGAGCCCAGGGCAGATGGCGCATGGCATGTCACTTCTCTCTCCCTGCTCCTCCCTCAGCCTGCCAAGAGGTCACGGAAGAAGGAGGGGGAAGAGTTTGTGTGCCTGAGGACTCGGCTTCAGTCCTCCTGGGTGGGCTCTGTGGGGAGCTTCAGAACACTGTGGCATTCTGGCCTAAGCCAGTTAGGGTTGAGCTTCTGTCATGTGTCTGGTTTCAGTGTTGCCAGCACACAGCTGTCTCCAGGCATGTAGATCTTGTTGAGGGCAAGGTGCACGCTGGCTAAGGGCATAGACACTTGAGTCAAGTGAGCCCTCTGCCAAATTCACTTGGCAGAGTTTCATAACCTTTCTGTGCCTTAGTCTTACTGTTTGTGAAATGGGAATGACCTCACATGGTTGTTCCTAGGATTGAATGAGAGAATCTATGTGAAATCTTTCGCACAAGTGAGGTGCATGCTGAGTGTTCAAGCTGGCTGCTACTGTGTGCAGTGCTAATTAAATCCTCTTTCTTCTGTTTGTGTCACAAGTTCCAGGTTGCTAGGTCTGTTTACTCTGTGTGGCTCACTCTGCCCATCTCTGATGGGGAAGAGCTTTGAGGGAGGAGGTGGAAACCCAGGGGGTTTGGGTGGGAATTCAGCCTGTTTTTCTGATTGTTCCCTGTAGAGGGAGGATGCTGTGATGTGAGATTTATGTGTTTGTTTTAGTTTTGGCCTGGTGATTTCCACAGGGGAAAATAATTCAGAGGGAGTAAGTGTCACCACTGGGAACTTGCCTGACTCTCTTTCTCCAGGAGGAAGAGCTCTGCCTAGTGCAGGTAGGGAAGGGCAGCATCTGAAATGTGTGCTGGGAGGCGAGAGGTCCAGGGTGGGCTCTTATTTCTGCCTACTTCAGAGGACAGTAACAGGCCAAAGTGTGGGCACTGGGGTTGAATTTTAGTTCCTTGTGAAAGCCAGTGGAAACCTTCACCATGTCCCCAGGGCAGTACGTGGAATGCTGGCAACAGTAGGCCCTCTGCTCTTCTCCAGTTGGGTAAATCACAAACTCAGGAAGCAACTTTCTGTCAGTAAACCACTCTATAGGCCAGTGAAATAGGAAATACTCTACATTAAAAATGTTTTGAGGGACTTCCCTGGCAGCATTGTGGTTTAAGACTCTCTGCTTCCAATGCAGGGGTCATAGGTTCAGTCCCTGGTTGGGAAACTAAGATCCCACATGTCACATGGCATGGCCAAAATATATATATTTTTTAATGTTACGGGGCATGTAAAAAAGTTACAATAAAATTTTGTTGTTATTGTCAAATTTACTATGGATAAAACAACTAAAAGATTAGGGAAAATGTCAGTAATCTGAAAAGTGTCTGTTCAAGTTGCTTTGCAAGTAGCAAATTCTTATCTCCTTTAAAGAGAAAAGAAATAGGAAATTGTAGAGAATACCTTGTAGCTGGAATTAACACAAGAAAGCAAACAGAGAACAACAAACAGTGTCAGAGAATAGCTCTTGCCAATACCAGAGGTTGGCAGATAGGGCACATTTGTATCTTCTGTTGGTGGTATGTTGTATGTTTCTAGTACACATATTTTTATAATTATATATTAATAGTATACATTAACATAGAATTATATATTAATAGTATACATTAACATAGCATTACGTATTTAGTAGTTTTTAAAGTGAATTTTCTGCTTTAATGGACTGTTGTATCAATCAATCAGCTATACTAATATGTATTAAGAAAGTCGTTTTCTCCTGATTTGACACATGGATGTACCAGGGTGTTTTGTTAACTCTGAGAAAACAGGTCTGTCGGCTTTGTTTCATAAGACTGGAAATATGACATACAGCTATGTTAATAACTATGTAATTACTATGTTAATAACACTTAACACAGGTTACTAAATAACCTGTATCTTTGGATTCCATTTCCAGTGGAATATGTTCTTATAGTCAAACTGACCTTTCAGATTTCTAATCATCTGGCTTTTCTTCTGCCCTCTGAATACTGTGTGGACAGAATTGGAATTGTGGCTTGCTGTGATTCCACTGGAGCTCACAGACAATCAGGGTTGGTGTGAGCAAGAGTCCACATGAGGAGAGTGGAGGACAGGAGTGAGGGAGGCTGGGAGGTCCATTCAAACCTTGAGGTTGGCAATTTGGTGATAAAGTTTTGACTTCTAGGCACCAGGCCACCCAGGTCCAAATGTGAGAACAAAGGCAGATCCTTCTAAAGCATGGTGACTTTGTAACTTCCATGTGATTTCAGAATTCCAGTTAATTGTTACCTCTACTCAAATTGATACTTGAGAATTTATTGCAGTAATGCAATAGCAACCCGCAACCTGAAAGTCCCTGACTCTCTTGTCTTCACAGGTGTTGGGACGATGCTTTTTGACAGTGGTGCAGGTCCATTTCCAGTTTTTGACCCAGGCGTTACAGAAGGTACAGCCCGTGGCTCACTCTTGCTTTGCTGAAGTTGTTGTGCCAGAAAAAAAGAACAGCAGCAGTGGCGGCGGCTTATCTGGCATGGGCCACACATCGGAACTGGAGGAAGCGGTGCGATCCTGGCGAGGGGCTGCTGAGGTAACCCTGACTCTGGGGAGATCAGTGCCCTTTGTTCAGATAGGAGAGGCTCCAGAGGGCCTTTGCCTGTTGGTTCTTAAAAAGGCCTTTTTTATGTAGAAGTTTGATTTTTCAACTGTTACCATTAGATTGTTGCTTCATTTAACAGTGAATGCTTTTGTAAATGCCCACTTCATGCCAGGCATGCACCAGGTACTGGGAAGACAGCCTCTACTCACAGCCTCCTAGGAGAAGGGGCTTTACAAAAACAGGGTTGAGGAGAGGCCTTTGACAAGAAGTGCAGCAAAGTTTCTGGGAATAGGGACCAGGGTGAAGAGGTTGAAAGGTAAATGGAGTAAACAGTCAGCTAGGTAGCTAGATGGGGATGTAGTCAGCAATGACACTCTTCTTGTTGGTATTTTAATACTCCTTTGTTTCTGAGGCTGGAAGAAAAGCCTTGCAAGTCAACACTTTAACTAGGATTTACTGTTCATTTCACAGAGGAAAAGAGAATTTATATTATAATATTTAGTTTGACTCAAAACCTCAATTAAATTGGCAAACTATTTCATTTTGTTTTAGAAATCTCCTCTAATCAAATTTGTAAACATCTTTCAACATTTTAACATTATATGTTCTGTTGTTTACTTAGTTCAGTTTTATGATGTTCCGTTGCATTATTTTTTCTCAGTTTCTTTTCCCTGTGTTGGTCTCTTTCATTTTAAAGATTCTCCTCTGCTTTCTTGGTGTTTATCGGAGCAGCCATGCAGTGCTCATTGGGGGTTGAGTGCAGGAATGGTACCTGCTGACTTCATTGCAGGTGCCCGGGCAATGGGGCCCCCACCTTTGTCTTCTCACCTTACAGCCCTCTGTGCCCTCCCGGCCGCAGTCTCCTGATCACGCTGCTCACACTTACACCCTTCATACATGACTCAAGGTCTTCTCTACCCAACCTGTGGGTATCATTCATGCTGAGAGCCCAGACCAAGTGAGCAGCCTGCTGGTGCTCCTGTGACCTCCTGGCCTTGACCTTTTCCTTCACCCACTTCTGTCTGCCCTGGCTTTCTGCCTTCCTTACTTTGCTTCCAACCAGTGACCCTGCCCCCTACACACTGAGAAAACAGACTCTGCCTAGCAGCAGCCCCTCTTCTCCATTTCCACCCAGATGACACACCTCTCCCATTCAGATCCTTTTCTGTTCCTTCCTCTTCATTACAGCAGAGGAGGCGCCCTCTCCTCCTGTCCAAAGTCTGCCTCTCTCCACCCTGCCCCCACCGTCAGGGCTTCTGTGGTGGGACCCTATGTTTTGCCTCCCACCTCCTCAGCATGTTCCCACCAATACACAAATAGGCTTGCAAATAAAAATCCTCCGTGCTCTGCCCTGTTTCTCTTCTCTTTTCATAGCCAGCTTCTTGGAAAAATTGTTTGCCTCACCTTTGATTCACCCTAAAAAAATTACTGTTATCAGATATTTCAAGCATATATGAAATGTCACATACATAACCATCTATCTACCTTTTAGCTTTGTCAAATGAATCTTCACTTTTTGCACATTTGCTTCATACCTTTTATTGTTAACAGAAAAATATTGTTACAAATGCAGTTGAATTCCCTTTATACTTCTCCGCTGTCGTATTCATATTCCTTTCTCTCTAGAGATAACCTCTTGATTTTGGAGTGTGTGACTCCTATGCATATTTTTACATTTTTATTCTATATGTGTGTATCCATATGTGTATTGTTTTGCACAATATGAAGCTTTATATATAACGAGCACCATTCAGCTCACTAAAATCTGGCTTCCACTCCTCCACCAGAACATGCCTTGTCTTGTCAAGGTCACTGGTGCCTTCTGTGTTGCCAGAAACATTGGCAGAAATCCAAGGATCCCGTTGACTCCATTTAGCAGCTCACAGCAACTTGGGCCTGGAAATCCTCTCTCCTTATGAAGAACCATGTGCTCTTAGTTACCCTCTTACCTCCTAGGCTAGCCTCTCCAACCACTTTGCTATCTTCTCTTCAACATAACTTATGAATGTGAGTTCCTCAAGGCTCAGTTCTACATGTCCTCTTCCCTGAGGGGTCTCCATCTAATCTTGGAACTTTAAAAACCTCTTGTGTGCTGGGGCCATGGAGCGTGTGTGCCCAGTTCCCTTCCCTCGTGGTCCCAGGCCCCTGTGTTCAGCTGCTGTCCTCCTCAGGTCTTCAGAGGGCTCAGCCCTTGGCCTTCCCATGTACACCTGTTCCTCTTCAAACCGTCCCTGTGCTAGCAAGTAGTGCCCTCTCACACCGAGTCCCCTGTGCAAGAAACCTGGCATTTATCCTCCAGTTTTTCTGTCACCGCTGCATCCAGGCCCTACGAAAGCCCTGCAGACCCTGCCGCCAACATCCTGTTGTAGACCTGCCCCTTCATTCTGTGTCCACTGTCACTGACTTGTTTCAGGGGCCGTTACTCTCCCTGACAGTTTCAGAGGCTGGGGCTGCTTCTGCCCTTCCTGCCTTGCTGTCCCTCATCTCTCTCTGTTTCCTCAGGGTAAGGGGTAGACCCGTCCCATGACCTGCCTAGGCCCACATAGTCTGGCTCCTGCCTCCCCACCAGCCGCCTCTGACCACTCTCCCCTGCTCCCTGAGTTCTAGTTCCTGTGCCTACATCTCTGCCTGTCCGCTCCCCGACCCTGCAGTTCTGTTGACTGCCGCCTCCTCTTTAAATGCAGCCTAAATGATGATTTCTCAGCTTCTTGGGTGCTCCCTGTCACAGTTCTTTATTTCCTTTGGGATGTGTTTTTTCATTTTATATTCTTTAAATGTTTTATTTGCTTGCCTTTCCAACCCATTTCCAACCATTTGCTGCCTTTCCAAGTCAGCTCCAAGACTATAGGGACCTGGTTTGGTGCTCCACTGGCTTATCCAGTGACTCCTCTAATGTAAGACCTGTGAGCTACACATTTTGACTAAATGAAGAGTTCAAGAAAGAGAGCCAAATGGTTTTAAACTGTGAGACTATTAGGGTTCAGGGAGTGATTGGTCTTCAGATAGAATTTGTGAAGTTTTGGAAATACATGATATTATAGCTGCTTAATTTCCTTTAGTCTTGCAATGTTGGTAAATATTAAAACTCCATTAAACTAGAAGAACAAAAATTAACTGTTAAAAATGTTACTTGTTACGCAAGTATTATTGTAATAAAAATAGATGTTGAAAAATTGAAAGACAGTTCATCCTGAATCCTTCGTTACATCTAATAAATTGAATATGTAGTTTTCTATATTCTCTAGTCCTGATTCATATGTATAGATAACTAGCATTTCATCACAAAACACAGATTAGTCTTCCTGTTTTTCTGTCTTACGTCCTTATGTCTTCTTGTTTTCCTGTCTTATGTATTCATTGTTGTTGTTTATTGCTAAGTCATGCCCAACCCTTTGTGACTCCATGACTGTAGCCCACCAGGCTTGTCTGTCCATGGAATTTCCCAGTCAAGAATACTGGAGTGGATTGCCATTTCCTTCTCTCGCGGATCTTCCCAACTCAGGGACTGAACCTGTGTCTCCTGCTTGGTAGGCAGATTCTTTATCACTGAACCACCTGGGAAGTTCAGTGTACTTTTCATAAACGTATATCTAGTGACTAAACAATGATTTCAAAAGTTCTGTTTTTCCTTTAATTTTTCAATGTAGTTTTTTTCCTATTGGTGAGGTTTTTTACTTTGATGTTTGGGACCTCTCAACCAAATAGATATATTTTTTAATTTTGGAAACTTGAAGGGCCACTATAGTAGGGTATCTGGTGGCTCAGACAGTAAAGCGTTTGCTTACAGTGCAGGAGACCCGGGTTCAATTCCTGGGTCAGGAAGATCTCCTGGAGAAAGAAATGGCAACCCACTCCAGTACTCTTGCCTGGAAAATCCCATGGACGAGAAGCCTGGTAGACTACAGCCCATGGAGTCACAAAGAGTTAGACACAACTGAGTGACTTTTAAAGCAGAGAAGCTTAAAATGTGATTTTTAAAAATATGTGTATATATATATATGTAACAGGTAGGTAAGTCTTTTTTGCAGGGTATTTTTTGACTGTGCCATGAGCCTTGTGGGATCTTAGTTCCCAGACCAGGGATTGAACCCCGTCCCTCAGCAGTGACAGTGTCAAATCCTAACCGCTGGACCACCAGGGAATTCCCAGGGGGTTTCTTAAATAAGGTAGTGCTATGTCAGGTTTGTTTTCTCGTCAGTTCTTGGTTTAGTCTTTCAGAATTTCTGGCTGCCCTCTTCATAATAGAGATAATCCAGAATGACTAGTGCTTAGATCGTTTCTTGCTTTATTTTAGTTGTTTCTTGTTCTTTTAATTTTGCTAGTATCTGTAACATCCTCTTTTACCTACCAGTCACTGTTTCTGTTGCAGGCAACATCTAGATTGAGAGAAAGAGGCTGTGATGGCCGCCTGGCAGGAATTGAAGTTCAACAGCTCTTCTGTTCTCAAAGTGCAGCAATTCCCGAGCATCAGCTAAAAGAACTGAACATAAAAATTGACAGTGCTCTGCAAGTATGTTTTTCAAAACTAGCACATTAATATCTGAGGAATGAAAACAAGGGGTGGAGTTAAAGCTTTGATGTTGAACCAGTTGGAAAGAGTAATAGGATAGTAGTTGGCCTCATGTCTTTTAGTAACTATAGAAATTTAAGATTTCTATTTTCACTGGACTTTGTCAATTTAGAATCTACTATGTGATCTTGATTCTTGAAAAAAATTTCTTTGCAGGCATATAAAATAGCTCTGGAAAGCTTAGGTCACTGTGAATATGCAATGAAAGCTGGTTTCCACCTGAATCCAAAGGCAATAGAAGCCAGTTTGCAGGTACGTTGTTCTGTCTGGTGGCTCCTGGGAGCTGTGGTGTGGCAGTCACGCCATCCACATGAGCCAGCCGTCTTGAGAGCTGAGCTGTGGGTCACTTCTCCTGTCCTCTCCAACCCTTTTTCAGGGCTGCTGCAGCGAGGCAGAGGCGCAGCAGACAGGGCGGAGGCAGACCCCGCCGCAGCCCATGCAGTGTGAGCTTCCCACTGTGCCCGTGCAGATAGGATCAAGCTTCCTGAAGGGGGTCTCCTTCAACGAGTCGGCTGCCGACAACCTGAAACTCAAGACGGTAGCTTCCCATGGTGTTCCTCCAACCTGGGTGTGAACTTGAAAATGGAGTTCTTAAGGTCACCTGATGGCTTGTAAAGAATCTGGATTAAAAAGCAAAACTGAAGTGAAGACAGGAGGCATTGACCTTCCTCAGTAAACTTGTCTAAAAGCAGACTAGAGTGATGTTTCCCTCCCCCCATTTGATAGGTCTTTATTGAGCAATTAGTACCAGGCTTTACTGAGCGTTAGTACCCGGCTAGGAAGTTTGACAGCCCCCAAGGTTGTGGTAGTAACATAGGATGAGGGGGCCTCAGCTAGAGGGTTAAGGGATGTGACCCTTGAGAAGAGGACTTAAAGCAGAGAAAGACCTGAAGAATAAGTGTGGGGGTGAGGCTGGGGCTGTGAGACAGCCAGGAAGTGAGAACCTGTCCCAAGAGCTGAAGGTCTTCCTTAGAGCTGAGGTGGGGTGTCCTCTGGCTGTCAAGTATAGTCCCTAGTAGGATTTGGATTTAATAGCCCTGAAATGAAGGCTGGGCTCTTCTAGTTTATAAAAGTTGTTCGGGTGATTCTAACGTGTAGTCAGACCTGAGAGTCTAGAACAAGGGGAAGACATGGCACTGACCAAGGCTGGAGAAGCAGCCCAGGGAGATGGAAAGCCCCCAGTTTGAGGCAGGTGCCCCACCATGGCAGGTCACGTGATTAGGCTGGCATTTCTGAAAGATTCCCCTGGCTTCAGGATAGATTTTTGGCTGGAAGGAGAGCAGCACTGAAGGCTTTTGGCCATGACCCCATCTGGTGATAATGGGAGGCAAGTGGAAGGATTCAGGAGCAACCTAGAGGTTGTAATAAGCAGGACTCCATGATTAACTGGCTATGAGAGGGAGGGGAAGGGAGATGAGGCCCAAGTTTCTGGCTAGGACAGCAGTTTTGGTGCTGCTTATTAAGGCTTGATGATAGTCATCAAAAATACATTTTTGTACATGATTTTAAGATTGCTTTTGAAATGTCAAGGGGAGCCATCCAGCAGGCAATTGGATATATGGGTCTAGAGCCCTGAAGTGGGATCAGGGCCTGGGTCCTCACAGACAGATGGTCTCTGAAGCCAGAAGAGAGGCTAGGGGAATACAGGAAGTGTGTGGAGGGAGTTCAAGGAAACTTTGGCATTTAAGAGAGTGGCCGTGACTATTTTATAGTCACAGGGCCATAAATGAACTTCTTCAGGCATGTGCTGTATCTGCCGCGGTGTATTGTCCTTATGGTACCTTGATCGGAGTACACTGTTGCTGTGAAGTCCAGCTTGTTGGGAGAGTTCTGGATCACCGGTTTGTTATGAGAGAATGTAACTCAGGAATAGCCAGATGGAAGAGGCGCCTGGCTCAAGGCCTGGGGAAGGGGCTTGGCGGTTCCCTATTCTCTCCAGGCAGCACAGTCCCAGCACCTCCCTGTGTTCTCCAGCCCCGAAGTTCCTAGGGTGACTTTTAAAGAGACTTTTGCCAAGTTAATTTTTTTTTAAATTTTGTCCAAAGTGTATAAAATAAAAGGTTTTGAAAGTACACTATAAAAATGCTGTTTATGGTTATGCTCTTGGGATGGGCTTTCATTTCCTGGCTGTCTCACGGCCCCAGCCTCACTTTCACACTTATTCTTCAGGTCTTTCTCTGTGTTAAGTCCTCTTCTCAAGGGTCACATCCCTTAATCCTCTGGGCGAGGTCCCCCTCGGCCTGTGTTACTATCACAACCTAGGAGGCTGTTTGTGGTTAATGTTTCAGTGAAATATATAAGAGGAGAAATCTTGCCCTAGTACTGAAGTAATTAGGACCATCTGTGGAGCATCCTGTATGCCGGGCATGTGTCAGATGTTTGCCATGCATCGTCTCAATTAATGCTCACCCATGAGGTGGGCACAGCCCTTTGCCCCACTTGACCGACAGAGGAGCTGGAGCCCGAGGCCACACAGCTAGAAAGTTGCAGACTGGAATTGAAGCTTATGCTGACCACGTGTTCATCCAGAATAAGGATGAAGTTTTCTGGTATTTACTTGTATCAGAAAATTTTCCTTATTCAGAGGGATTCAGAACTTCAAAATTCCTTAGCCAATTTGTATCAGTAGGTTGCTAAATAATGCTGTGTTTTGTGCTAGAATAGAAATCACATATGTGTATTAATGCACATGTATCCATATCTAGCCAGTCACAGGTTTGAGAAAATCTTTGAAGGTAATTGATGAGAATTACTTATGAAATCAAAATGAAGTGACTTGGGAGAACATAAAATTCTCTTCTCTTGAGGGCTATTTTGTACCTATAAATGCATTTCTGTAAATTTTGGAACCTTTTATGGCTTTATTTTGAGGTGTGAACTTTGTTTTTATCAATCTGTAGCATACGATGTTACAGCTGATCAAGGAGGCAGGCTGCTATAATGGAATCACACCCAGGGACGACTTCCCTGTCACTGAAGTCCTGAACCAGGTGTGCCCATCCACGTGGCGGGGTGCCTGCAAGACTGCCGTGCAGCTGCTGTTTGGCCAGGCCGGACTGGTGAGTGAGCACATGTGACGGACAGGGGGGAGTAGAGGAAGACATTTTAAGCATGTGAGCATGTGCTGTGGGCTCATGTGTGGAAACACTGGATAATATAAACAGCCCTTTGGTTGCTGCAGAGGCTAGACCAGATGGGAAAGGAAGAGCATCATTAAAAGGTCTTTTTTTGTCCTTTACTAGATTGATGATATGTATTTGCAAGGGACCTAGTTGCAAAATGGTGTCTCAGGCGTTCCAGATTTTAAGGAAACCATCACATTAGTGATGGTAGGCCCTTTCACCTGGCCTGACTCTCCAGGGCTACAGTGGGTGTCCTTCTGTTGCTCAAACACAGCAGCCTTCTTCCAGTCTCAGGTTTTTGCCCTTGATGTTCCTTTTCCCTGAGCATACTCCTCTCAGATCTTCATGTGACTCACTCTCATTTTCCTTACGTCAACTCAAACATCACCTCCTCCGATGGTATAAGTAGTGCCCCGTCCAGTCACTTTGTACCTCAGCTCTCTGTTTATCTCCTTTTATACAATAAAAATAACAATGGCAACTCCAAACTAAGTTTGGTCTCTTTAACTTTGGTGAGAAGAATAACTTTTGCCAAATTTGGATGGTGTTAGGAAATCAACATCTAGATGTCTTTAATTTTGTTTTTTTTCACTATTTATTTGGTTGCACCGGGTCTTTTGTGACACTCAGGATCTTTAGTTGCTGCATGTGGGATCTAGTTCCCTGAGCAGAGATCAAACCCGGGCCCCCTGTATTGGGATTGTGGAGTCTTAGCCACTGGACCACAAGGGACATAACAACATTTAGGCTTTTGTTAGGCACCTTTGATCTGTGTCCCTTTGTATTTATCCTACGTTCTAACATGAAAGATTGCTTTTTGAAGTGTTATAGGTCCTCCTCCAGGGGATCTTTCTGATGAAGGAAGATCCCTTGGAGGAAGACATGGCAAACCATTCTAGTATTCTTGCCTGGAGAATCCCATGGACAGAGCAGCCTGGCAGGCTACAGTCCAGAGGGTCGCATAGAGTTGGACACAACTGAAACAACTTGGCACGCATGCATAGCATTTTAGAAATTTAAGGAAGTTAATTAGAGATTAAGATAATTAAAGAACTGTTTCTACTCTGTTTCCTACTTTATTCATAAAAGGAGCTGTTGGGAGGATGCAGTCCTTCTGTTTGGTGTGGGTGAGTTCTCTGGTGGCCCAGCTCAGGGTAGTACTTGCCTTGTAGAGGGCCAGGTGGGGCCTGTCCACAGTGTTGAGTTACATTTCCCTTAAAATCTGTTCCTTAGTATAGGAACCCCTGAGAAAAAGAGTAAACTGGAGACCCCCTGCTGAAGTATGGAGGAGCCCACTGCCTTTAGTAGATTGATCCATATTCCCAAAGACCATTTTAGCTGCAACTAGGGGAACCATGTCAATAAGTTCTCCAGAAAGGAGTGTGTAAAATAAGGTAGGAAGACCCAAACACAGTTCTGAGAAAATATCAGTTAAAAAAAAAAAGTCCCATGTTATTCAGAGAGCAAAAACTTCTTCCTAGTTCTCTGCTCCTTGATCCCAGGGCAACTTTGTGTGTGACTGATGAAGAAACTTCAGATTATTGTTCTGGGGATGGGAGGAAAGAGGAAACACCTGCTTGTTCCAACAATGGCTATTGCTTGGACAGGAAGTCTTTTCTAAAGGACGCTGCAGACCAGCTGTGGGAACTCTCTTTACAGCTATGGAAATCGGCTTCATTAGATGCTGAATTTGGAATCCTAATAAGCAACTCTGCACCGCTTTGCCCATCCTGAAATATTACAGATTTGGTTTTAAAGTGTTTTATGGTTATTTTCTTAAAATTCTTTTAGTTATTTGAAAATATATTCATCACTTTGTCACACCCTTTAAATTACAAAGGATACTATATCATCTGTGTAATATTAAAGACTCCCCTCAGGACTTCCCTGGTAGTCCAGTGGTTGAGACTCTGCACTTGCAATCCAGGGGCTGCGGGTTCAATCCCTGGTTGGGGAACTAAGATTCCACATGCTGCATGGCACAGCCAAAAAAACAAAAAACAAAAAGCCGAAGAAAGAAAAACTGTCTTCCAGGAAGTTCCCTGGTGGTCTGTTGGTTAATACTCCATGCTTTCATAGCTGTGGCCCGGATTTAGTCCCTGGTTGGGGAACTGAGGTCCCACAAGTGCACAGCGTGACCAGAAATAAAACAAGAGAAAATCACTGAGAAAGGATTGGTTCTGCATTTTTCCTGAAGTAATTCTGTTCTTATTGATGGTTGAGGATCAAGTGGCCTTAACAAAAAGCCTCACCATCTTCTGGCTCATATTCGGTCATTACACATAGGCTGCTCTAAAAGCATTGGTTTGATTTTTAATGACGTTTTTATTTCTTTGAAGTGCATCAAGTGAAAAAATACTTAGACAAAGGAAACAAAGTAATTCCTAATTAACATATTTACAGCTTGGAAGAAGTACTAAAAATGATTGTAAAGTTCAGTACATCCTGCACCTAGAATGCAGTTTCTGTTTTTTTGAAGTATTACTGTTTTCGGTCATCTTTATTACTTGTTGTCTCCATGGGGTTCCTGACTGGCTTACGTGTTTCTGTTGCCAGATAGTTTACTATCTTACCAGAATAGTTCTTACCAGAGTCACTCAACATTGATAGGCTCATGCATTTGATTTGTTTATGATCCATTTTTCTCTTTGAAAGCTGATTTTTGTTTCCGTTTCTCTCTTAGGTGGTAGTTGATACAGCACAGATTGAAAATAAAGAAGCCTATGCCCCCCAAATCAGTTTAGAAGGCTCCAGAATTGTGGTTCAAGTCCCATCCACATGGTAATGTGACTTTTACACTAACACAGGCCTAAGCTTTGATTGATGTTTGCACATCTTTGAAAAGATTGCATTGCTTATGACAAATTTGTTACTGAATCCACAGCTTTTGAACAGAGTATATCATTTTCTCTAAGTCACCTAGCATTTCTCTGAAGCTGAGTATAAAACACAGAATTTCCTCCCTTTTGTTCCAGCAACAACCCTGCTGATCTAGAGGTCATGTCATTGCACACCCAGTGCCATTGCAAATCTGGAGGCAGACGGAGCTGTTTCATTTTTAATTATTTGCTTATATTTGTAAACTTATAATGAAGTATTATTATTATTATTATTTTCTTTGGCTGCATCCCTTCATTCTTTCTGGAGTTATTTCTCCACTGATCACCAGTAGCATATTGGGCACCTATTGATCTGGGGAGTTCATCTTTCAGTGTCCTATCTTTTTGCCTTTTCATGCTGTTAATGGAGTTCTCAAGGCCAAAATACTGAAATGGTTTGCCATTCCCTTCTCCAGTGGACCACATTCTATTAAGGCTATGGTTTTTCCAGTGGTCATGTATGGATGTGAGAGTTGGACTATAAAGAAAGCTGAGCGCTGAAGAATTGATGCTTTTGAACTGTGGTGTTGGAAAAGACTTTTGAGAGTCCCTTGGACTGCAAGGAGATCCAAACAGTCCATCCTAAAGGAGATCAGTCCTGGGTGTTCATTGGTAGGACTGATGTTGAAGCTGAAACTCCAATACTTTGGCCACCTGATGCAAAGAGCTGACTCATTTGAAAAGACCCTGATGCTGGGAAAGATTGAGGGCAGGAGGAGAAGGGGACGACAGAGGATGAGATGGTTGGATGGCATCACTGACTCAATGGACATGGGTTTGGTGGACTCCGGGAGTTGGTGATGGGCAGGGAGGCCTGGCGTGCTGCGGTTCCTGGGGTTGCAAAGAGTCAGACATGACTGAGCAACTGAACTGAACTAATGAAGTATTATTCTTAATTTATTCAAACTAAAGCCCCTAGAAGTCAGTAAGAAATGGGCAAAGCACAGATAGGTAAATGAGGAGACATGGTCAACAAAGAGATGAAGAACTTGTATAACCTCACCTAACAAAGAAAGGAAGGCAAAGCAGAAAATACAATGTCATTTTGCCCATCATGTTATTAAATTGTTTTAGAATAGCAGTACTAGATTTGGTCCAGACTGTACAAAAACAGGCACAGATGTCGTTGAATAAATCACACAGCCTTTCTGGAGGGCAGTTTCATTTGTCAGAAACCTAAAATAAGGGCTGTGACCTCAATAGTTCCACCTCTAGGGATTTATCCTTGTGATGTGCCTACAGATTAAGCACAGTTTTATTAGTAAATAGGAAAAATTAAACATATATTGGAATACTTTTGCTATTAAAATCATGGGCAGAATGAATATTTAACTTGATAGAAAATGTTTGAAGTAATTAGATAGGAAGAGATAGTAAGGAATAGTGACACTATTGGGGCCCATGCGGACTAACGTGGTAGTTGGGTAATGCGTTTGAATTGTGTTTAAATCATTTCTTCTTGAAATGTGAAGGGGGTCCAGTGGAGATTCTGCTTAAAGTTTTAGAATCTCTTAATATATTGAGTGTGAAAGCAAAAGTGTTAAGTCACTCAGTCATGTCCGACTGTTTGTGACCCCATGGACTGTAGCCCCAGCAGGCTCCTCTGTCCATGGAATTTTTCAGACAAGAATATAGGAGTGGGTTGTCATTCCCTTCTCCAGGGGATCTTCCTGACCCAAGTATCAAACCCGGGTCTCCTGCATTGCACACAGATTCTTTACCATCTGAAGGGTTGGTAATTCACTGCATGTCCCAGAATCTCCCTTCTGTGAGTTTATCCACAAATTTCTAAATTTGATTATTAGTTAATTTATATTCATATCTTCATTCCTGTCAAACAGTAGATTTTTTTTTTTTTTTTTGACTCAGCTTGCAGGATCATAGTTCCCCAACCAGGGATTGAACTTGGGCCCTCTGTAGTGAGAGTGTAGAGTCCTAAACCACTGAACTGGCAAGGAATTCCCCAAGCAGTAGATTAAAAGCTTATGTTTTTGTAAGAGTTTTGTGTTCCTGAGTTTGTTTTCTAATTCAGGTTCTTATTGAAAAACATTAAACTTAACTAGGATTCTCCTTTTAAAGAAAACATTTCCAACTCTTGGATAATTGGGTAAATATAAACAGCTAGTACTAAAATGCTTAATACTGCAGTTTACTTCCAGAACTCCCTGTATGATTGATTTCCTTTGTAATTCATTGCCCATCCTTGAAAGACCTCACAGACTGCAGACGCTCCCTCTGCTGGCTACTTTTGGTAAAAATGGCATAGTTTTCGTGTTTTTGTTTCAAGTTACAAAATATGTGCTTTTTGAGAAGAACTCAAAAAGAAGTAGTTGCTTTACTCCAACTTAGAGAAAATGAAATTATTAGCAAAACTAGTCAAGAATTTATTATTTGCTTTGCTTTTAGTATAATGAAGTATTTAGATTCTTTTTTCCCCCCCCAAAAGTAGTATCTTACTTAGATTTTTAAACTGTCATATTTAAGCTGTTCACCCATTCTTTCTTTCATCAAATATTTACTGAATACTGAATATGTGACAGACACTGTTCGAGGCTCTGGGGATTAAATCAGGAGCAAGACAGACAGGGTCCCTGCCCCTAATAGAGCTGGCTTTGTAATGGCGTGGGGGTTGGGGAGGGGACTGTTATTAAGCATAGGAGTTAAGTTCAAGCACTGGCAAGCGTACGAGGGGAATAAGAGTAGAATGACAACATCTGTTAGAGAATAACAGGTAGAGATGGCAGGAGGAAGCTGTTTTGGATGAGGAGGTCAGTTATGAAGGGTCTCTTTAAGGATGTGACATTTGAGAGGAGCCTGCCATGCAGAGAGCAGATGGGGAAAGCATCACAGGCAGAAGGAATAGCAAATGCAAGAGATCTGAGGAGTGCGGTGGTGTGACTGGAAGTATGCTGGGTGGGGGTGAAGACAGGAGTCGTGGAAGCCAGGACTTGCAGGGTCCCTGGGGGACTAGGGTTTTATCTAAGAACAGGTAGAAGGTTTTAAGCCAGTCAGGGTGATTTGTCAAAAAGAATAGGTTTAGTGTCTTCAGGGGATTTTACTGATCACTTCTCAAGACTGATGAATAACATAAAAATACCATTTTATTGATTTTTTAGAAAGAAATTATTAGTATTACCAGAAACCGTAGTACTCCTTTCTGTATGACCAGAAAATGCTCACCTAGTGGGCGGACATGTGACCAGCCAGATCACAAGCAGAAGGTGGCTTGAGAACATAGAGCAAGTGTGTCCTGTGGTCAGTGATTCCAGGCTGAGAGAATCAGGTGCATGAACCTCAGCCAGGAACACTGGCCAGGATTCTCTCCTAGGAGCCCAGGGTCTGGTCGGGTGCTGGCAGAGCTTGCCTTGTTGCTCACTTTCTCCAGGGTTTCTGAGACTGACCAGCTCACATCCTCATATATATTTCTTCTCAAGCCAAAGTCTCATTGGGGAGTGCTACTGCCTCCTTAGGATGGCTTCGGCAAGTGTTATTTGCACCATTTAGCCCCCAGAGCACTTGGTAATAGATAGCATCTTCCTGGTTCTCCCTCTCAGAAAAGGCCTCTTGGTGGAGGTGCCCCGGGTGGGCAGTGGGGACCTGAATGCCAGCTGGAAGGCAGCTCTCAAAGGGGAGCAGTTCAGGCAAAGGCAACAGCCTCAGAGATCCTGAGATGTGAGCAGACCCAAAATATTCAGGGCGTGTGAGAAGCCTCGTAGTTGGGACACTGTAAAGAGAGGTGACAGTGAAGAGGATCGTGTCCAGAGAGGCAGGATGCCTGGGTCACAGAGTCTGGAGGGTTGTGGTGAGGGGTTTGGAGTTTATTTCAGCCACAATAGGATGCCACTGGAGGGTTCTGCACAGGGAGTGGTGTGTTCTGATGTGTGCTAGAGGAGGCTCACTCTTGCTGTGTGGAGGAAAGTCAGGGCTGAAGCCAGTGTAGGACAGTGAAAGGGCATTACGACACCTGGAAGGCAACCCCTGCACTGAACTCTTCTGTTCCTACTAAACAGATTCTAGACAGTTAGAAATCTGTGGCGACGCCAGGCCCTGTTGTACTGCTTCCCCCTCCTATTGCGGAGAAGCAAGTCCCAGTGTTAGCTGTATCATCCTTTAAATATTCTTATGACTACTAAATTTTTCTTTGGTGCCAGAAGTTGTGGCCTTTTGTATAAGGCCTGCTTGAAAATTGGAACCCCGTTGCGGAGAAGGGCAGCCCAGACTCATGCAACTTGGTTGGTACCTAGGTGCCTGAAAGAAGACCCTGCTACCATGTCCCTGCTGCAGAGAAGCCTAGATCCCGAGAAGACGCTGGGCCTGGTGGATGTGCTCTACACGGCGGTGCTGGACCTCACCCGCTGGAGGGCAGGGAGGTGGGTGTCCCTGCCGAGGAGCGGTGTGACCACTTACAGGGTCATGTGAGCTCATGTCACTCATAGTATGTGAGTAAATAAGGCAAGAAGGGGAACTTTGGGACAACTTGTTATTTGGGAATAATTTCAAGCTTACAGAAAAGTTGCAGGAATAGAACAGAGAATCGGCTTTTATTTACCCAGACTACCCGGTTTGTGAACACTTTTGCCTTCATTTGTTGTATCATTTCAGAGTTAAATCCATCAAGAGGATTTTAACCAAGCTCACATTCTCCCTATGAACTCAGAGCAGAAAGGTGTTTAGAAAGTTTACTTATATCTTGCATGAAATTTATTTATATCTGAAGGCACTGACAGTTGCAAGATGATCTGTTTGTGAATAAACTTTTGAACTGGTAAAGACCTTGAACATCTAGTTACATGCCCTCCGCATGTCTTCATTCCTGAGCACACAGAGGCCAAAAACAGCGAGTTGCTTTAACCAGGGTCACTCCAGCCATCATCTGCCTAGCTCCCACCCCATGCCCTTTCCATCTCTAGGACTTTCTTTCAGTACTGGAAAAAAGTACCCAGAAAACTTTGGAAGTAACAACCCTCTGTTCTTGGCACTGTCTGTTAATTACCTCCAAAGACAAGCTGTGCTGCCTAGTGTCCCTCGGTCTTGCCCATTCACCCCTCTCTGCTGTGTGGATTAGTCTGTTGACCCTCTGCTGGATCTGCCAGGCTCCCCTGTCATCCAGGCACACAGCCGGCCTCTGCCAAATGCATCTCCCACGCTAGGCTAGGTGTGCTTTGCTCTCCTGTGTTGCCGTCAGAGGGTTTCACTCAAAATCCTCATGCCAGAATCTAATGTAGTTTTCATGGCCCTGTGTTAGACACGGTGAAAGTGAAAGTGTTAGTTGTTCAGTCAGATATGGTAGATGTTTTATAATAAATATAGATAGTAAGTGCTTAAATTATGTACTCTTAAAACTTTTGAGTGTTTATGAAATAAATGAACCCATTTCCAAACAAAGAGGTCTTTTTATTCTTAAAGTCTTTCTTGAACACCAAAGCAATCCCATTTTATTGTCCAATCTGTATATGTTTTTTTTTTTTTTTTTTTAACACATTTCTCTTTCAATAGGGAACAAGCTTTACCCTGCATACAGATCCAGCTTCAGAGGGAGATCTGTGATTTTGGAAATCAGGCTGACTTGCCTTCTGGGAATGGGAACAAGTCTTCAGGTGGCCTGCAGAAGACATTCTCCAAGCTGACCTCCCGGTTCACCAAGAAAGCTTCCTGTCCCAGCTCTAGCAGCAGCACAAGTTACTCCATTCCAAATACCCCTTCCAAAAACATCTTCATAGCCGGGTGTTCGGAAGAGAAGGCCAAAATGCCCACTAATATGGACTCAAGGCTACAAAGCATTTTGAACATTGGTAATTTCCCTAGAACTGCAGATCCTTCACAGTCAGCTCAGAATTCCAGTAATCAAATGGCCAATGGTTTTCTCCTAGAGAGGCGTGACAACTTTCTGCAAGGGGATGATGGCAAGGATGAGAAGGGTATGAATTTGCCAACCGATCAGGAAATGCAGGAGGTGATCGATTTTCTCTCGGGCTTTAACATGGGCCAGTCACACCAGGGCTCCCCACTGGTGACACGGCGCAACTCTGCCGCCACAGCCATGGTGACTGAGCAGAAGGCAGGAGCCATGCAGCCACAGCAGCCGCCACTGCCAGTGCCCCCACCACCGCGGCCACCCCAGGCTGGGGCGCACACACCTCTGACACCCCAGCCGGGCTTGGCACCTCAGCAGCAGTCCCCAAAGCAACAGCAGCCCCAGGTCCAGTACTACCAACACCTGCTGCAACCTGTCGGACCGCAGCAGCCCCCGCCCCAGCCCCGGGCCCCTGGGAAATGGGTATCCGGCTCATCCCAGCAGCCAGCGCAACCCGTCGGAGCTGGTCTGTCTCCCCTTGGCCAGTGGCCTGGCATATCTGATCTCAGTTCTGACTTGTACAGCTTGGGTCTGGTGAGCAGCTGTTTGGATGATGTGATGTCGGAGGTTTTGGGACAAAAGGCACAGGGACCTAGAAATAACACCTGGCCAAACCGTGACCAAAGCGATGGAGTCTTCGGGATGTTGGGAGAGATTCTGCCTTTTGATCCTGCAGGTATGTGAAACCCCTCCCCACCTTGGGGTTTTAACTTAAATAATATCACCAAGGACTTTATAGGGCCTCTCTGCCATGGCCTTCCTCGTGGGAGGCAGTGACTTAACCCCCTTTAAAGACCCTTTCTCATTGCCTGATGGCAAGTATTGGGCAGCTCCAGCAAAGGGAGGAAACAGTAGTTAGAATGAGTCTGAGAAGGTAAGTGGAACTATTTTCTTACTTTGTAGAGGACAGAACTGAGGCTGAGAGAAGCTGAGTGACTCAGAGTCCTGTCAGTCACGAGGTTCCAGTTGGAGCCCCCCCATCCATGGCAGCCAAGTGGCTGGCCCTTCCCAGGCTGCTTTTTCCTAATCACATAACCTGTTTGGTGATTCTCTTTTGCCTAAACTCTAGAACCTGTGAAAGGTGGTAAAACACCCTCCTACCTTCACAGAATTTGGCTTTTCCTGGCCTACACAGTGTGAAAATTCCCCAGAGTTACCTTAGGAAATTAGAAAAAGAATTTAGAAACAAAACAAAAATAAATTAGGAGGAGGAGGTAAGGATAAAAGTTGTTCTACACCTGAAACTAAAATGATATTGTAAATTAGCTATACTTCAATTTCAAAATAAAAGCTGAATAAAATAAAAGCTGGATAAAAGCTGAAGCTAAATAAATTTGAAAGAAAAATATAGTAAACATTGTAAATAAATCTAAAAGAAGGGTCTTTAGAAAACCAGTAAAATAGAGAAACCAATTTATTGCAATCCTGATTAAGATAGAGCAAAGAAAAACAAGATTAAGATTAGGAAAGAGAAAGCTACAGATATAGGAGAGATTAAAAGAACTTTAAGGGTTTCCCTGGTGGTTCAGTGGTAAACAATCCATCTGCCAGTGCAGGCGGCACAGGTTCACTCCCTGATCTGGGAAGATCCCACGTGCCAGGGAGCAGCTAAGCCTGGGAGCCCCAACTACGGAGCCTGCGCTCTAACGCCTGGGAGCCCCAACTGCTGCACCTGCGCTCTAACGCCTGGGAGCCCCAACTACGGAGCCTGCGCTCTAACGCCTGGGAGCCCCAACTGCTGCACCTGCGCTCTAACGCCTGGGAGCCCCAACTACGGAGCCTGCGCTCTAACGCCTGGGAGCCCCAACTGCTGCACCTGCGCTCTAACGCCTGGGAGCCCCAACTACGGAGCCTGCGCTCTAACGCCTGGGAGCCCCAACTGCTGCACCTGCGCTCTAACGCCTGGGAGCCCCAACTACGGAGCCTGCGCTCTAACGCCTGGGAGCCCCAACTGCTGCACCTGCGCTCTAACGCCTGGGAGCCCCAACTACGGAGCCTGCGCTCTAACGCCTGGGAGCCCCAACTGCTGCACCTGCGCTCTAACGCCTGGGAGCCCCAACTACGGAGCCTGCGCTCTAACGCCTGGGAGCCCCAACTGCTGCACCTGCGCTCTAACGCCTGGGAGCCCCAACTACGGAGCCTGCGCTCTAACGCCTGGGAGCCCCAACTGCTGCACCTGCGCTCTAACGCCTGGGAGCCCCAACTACGGAGCCTGCGCTCTAACGCCTGGGAGCCCCAACTGCTGCACCTGCGCTCTAACGCCTGGGAGCCCCAACTACGGAGCCTGCGCTCTAACGCCTGGGAGCCCCAACTGCTGCACCTGCGCTCTAACGCCTGGGAGCCCCAACTACGGAGCCTGCGCTCTAACGCCTGGGAGCCCTAACTGCTGCGCCTGCGCTCTAATGCCTGGGAGCCCCAACTACGGAGCCTGCGCTCTACGCCTGCACCGTAGTCCCCATGCTCTGCATCAGGGGAAGCCACCGCAGTGAGAGACCATGCGCCACAGCTAGAGGGTAGCCCTCATTTGTTGCAACTAGAAAAAAACCTGCACAGCAGCAAAGACCAAATAAATAAATAAATAAACTATTTAAAAAACAAATAGTACTTTAAGACATTATCACATGATGTGATCACACCATACTAGAAAACTGAATGGAAAATAGAATCTTTTCTAACAAAATAAACATGATCAGAATTGCACCAAGTAGTGGAAAACCTGTCCAGTCTATTCCAGGAAAAGAGATCGGAAAGGGAGTTATGAAGCCAACATGATTTTACTGTAAAAACATAACATTTTATGAATGTAGATAGATGCAAGAATATGTAAGCAGTATATCAAAGGAGTTATATCTGGTTCACTTCAGTAGTATAAGATAGTTCAGTCTAAGGAACTCAGCTCCTGTACAGTAATCTGTTATTTCACCCAGTAAATGAGAAAAACTCATACAGCAGAAGATGCCATCAAGACATTTGGTAAAAGACACTGAGCAGTTCTTAAGTAAACTCAAAACATGAATAGAAGGAAATGTCTTGAATATGAAAAAGATTATCTACCAGTAGTAGCAAGTAGTACTCTTTGTACAGTAAAACAAAATCATTCCAGTTAAATCAAGACCCAAACAGTGTGGCAAATGATACTACCAATACCATGTGACTTTGTCTTGAACTTTCTGGCAAATGTAGCAAGACAAAAACAAAGGAAAGAAGTGCGTTAGACGTTAAAAAAAGCACGTCTCTTGGGACTTCCCTGATGATCCAGTGGCTAAGACTCCGAGCTCCCAGTGCAAGGGGTACGGGTTTGATCCCTGGTCAGGTAACTAGACCCCATATGCCGCATACAAGATACAAGATAGATATATATAAATTGATTACTTTTTACTCTAATTTTTTATATGGAAGTGAAAAATAACCACCAGAAGAGATTGCCAACCGTGTGAACCCAGCATTGTCTAAAATTAAAGAGATTTTTTTCTTCTGTCTTCTCAGAGTTCCTCATCCTGCCGCGTGTGCTCTTTTGTTCTCGCTCCCCTCGTGTGGGTGGATGTGGGGCCCCCACTAGGGGAAGGTCTGATGGTCCCACCCTGCTATGGAAGAGCAAGCCCCTCTAGCCACCACCAGTGGGGGCTGGTGTGGCACATTTTCTCAATCGCTGAGAAACAGTCTGTACATTTTTTGACAGTCGCGTAATTGAATCCAGAGTATTAATGGTGTTTGGCAGAATTTTATCAACTTTAATCTCTATGGGAGCCGAAACAGCCTGTATGTCATTAACCTAGGAATCCTACTAGCTTTTCCTTCTGGATATCCCTTTCTTACCTTCAAGTCCTTCATGTAGCTCCCTCCACATGCCACCCCAGCGGCGTAAGGTTTACATGGCTCTTTTTGCAAGGTAAGGGCATTCTGGAAGGATGAATTCCAGAAGGCGCCCTTTCAGGCGGGGGAAGGCAGCTAGAACCTAGTGCCGCCTCTTGCCCAGGCGCACGCAGCCCTTGCGCGCCCCCTTGTGGCCATCTTCATGCAGTGCACACATGGCGGTGCACAGAGAGCAACCTGAGGCTTGAGCCCTAGTGTATTTCCCACCTTGAAGCTGGAAAGTATTCACTCATGAGTCATATTCAGTTTGTGAACTACAGACATTTTCATACTGTGTCTTTTTGTTTGACTTTGTCTAAATGTCTTCTGTGCTGTTTTTCTTCCACTGGTACTGGCTTGCACATTCTTACTCAGTTCTGTGCAATTTGTTTCTATCCACCTCTTCATACTTTCTTAAATTTCACCTTACTCACGATCACTTTTATGATCTTCAGGCTGAATTAGCAGGTCTGCCTTCAGTATCCAGGAGAATATTGGATCAGACTTGAGCCCAAGAGGGAAGACAGGTATTCTCTATCTGGCTGACCCTAATGCTTTGATAACTTTCAGGTTATCTTTTAGTTGAAGTCATCATCTGATCCTCTTAGTTGTTAAGTATGTAGCTCCAGACATTGGAAATTTTTAAAGTAACTAGTATTTGTCTTTCAAATTTAGCCTTGGCTAAAGCAGACCTTTTTGTTCTCTGATTTTGTGCACATTCAGCTTGCCCTGCCCTAGGCACACCCCTTCCCACAGTTCCTATGCACACACCATTCCCCATTTTCAGACCTGTGTGCTGAAAGCCCCATTTCACCACAGTAGGCTTCTGACCAAATTCTGTAGCCCACTCTGGGCCTCATGCCTGGCAGCCCCTCACCACTTGTCATTGTGTGTGTCAACAGGACACCCTCAGAAGGTAGGGAAGGAAACAAGAGGCCAGTTTGGGCCCCCAACCCTGTTTATTTCTCTGTCTTAACACAGTGGGTTCAGATCCCGAGTTTGCGCGCTATGTGGCAGGAGTGAGCCAAGCAATGCAGCAGAAACGGCAAGTCCAACATGGTCGCCGCCCAGGCAATCCCCGGGGCCACTGGCCACCCATGGATGATGCCCATCGGACCTGGCCTTTCCCAGAGTTCTTTGCAGAAGGGTGAGTGCTGGTTGTGGGCAGGAAGTTGAGTTTGGGGTCTGGGTGTTCTGCAGGGGACCTTGGTATACTCTTACCAGGCCATTCATTTGTAGGCCTCCTTGTGAGAAAATGGCACATGGTCAGATCTTAGGAGTCAAGAGTTTTGTGACTGACTATAGGATGCCAAGTAGCATGTGGTGTCCCTGTGCATTCACCATTGGTATGAATTGATGATTTCTGAGACAGGCTCTTCTGCCCTGGACAAAGATCTTATTTGGTGGTGTTTGGGACATAATTGCATGTTTAACACAGTCTTTAGCTGAAATGAGTATGGTGATGAAACCTGTGTCATTTATGGAATGTGATCCTTGTAGCCTACAAAAAAAAAAAGCAAAGGTGTACAGTTCAGATTCTGATGTATTGAGAGAACTGTGGATTTTCATCATAAAGACCTTTGGGGGAGTGATTTTTTTTAACACCTCTTATTGCTCCCTGACTAATAACTCTGCACAGCTAAAGACCACCTCAGCTTTTTGTTTTCTCAAACATGAATTGCATATATACAGCTTCTGAGACATTTTTAGAGGAAGGAGAGAGACAAGGGAACACTGTTGGGTTGTGAGATAAGAGCAGGGGAAAGAATGTTCCCTTAGGGCTGGGGTGGGGGTGGGGGTGGGCCTGGCCTCAGGCTGTCCAGCTGGGGTCCAGGCTGGCTGCCTGAGGCCTGGGACCAGCTTCTCTCTTTGGCTTTCAGGGATGGCCTGCACAGCGGCTGGGCAGGGGCTCAGGGAGACTCAGCCAGCTCGAGTGATGAGACATCCTCTGCCAACGGGGACAGCTTGTTCTCCATGTTTTCAGGGCCTGACCTCGTTGCTGCTGTCAAGCAGAGAAGGTATGAAGAAATCTTTAAAACAAAGAACAGAGGGGTGCATGAATGTGATCCACAGCTTATTCCTCTACAAAGCTCAGTAGCTCCATTGCTTCTAGGTACCCACATTGAGAGAGGCAGAGGACCTCTTCCAGTACTGTCTTGCTGAAGCTTGGGTGGTAATGTAAAGTTGGGTTGAGTTTTTACTGGGAGAACAGTCTCATGCTCGTGGTAGCCCAAAATACCTGTAGACAGGCTAGGGAGTATTATGGAGAACAGGGTCTGCTGAGGCTGGTCTGCGCCTTATAGGGGACAGCCCTTTCCATGGGAGCAGCAGGACCAGGACAAAAATTCTGATCAACTCACCAACAGGCTTTGCAGCTCCAAACGTGGGTCTGGCCCTCTCTTACTCTCAGTTTCTTCATCAAAAGTGGAACTGGATAAAAGTAACCTCTGAATGTCATTTCAAAGCTGAAAAAAACAGGTGTAGAGTATATTCGGAGCTAAAGTTTTCAAGTGAGTGTTGTTAGTTGCTCAGTCGTGTCCAACTCTTTGTGATCCCATGGACTGAAGCTCTCCAGGCTCTTCTGTCCATGGAATTCTCCAGGCAAGAATACTGGAGTGGGTTGCCATTCCCTTCTCCAGGGGATCTTCCCTGGCCCAGGGATCAAGCCCGGTTCTCCTGCAGTGCAGGCAGATTCTCTACCATCTGAGCCATGAAAGGCATTTTATGTTTTCAAAAGTAGTCACAAAAATGAAAACAGACCCTGAAGTAAGATAAGAATTTGTTTAGAAAGAAATGGAGAGACTGTTGTGGGTGTGAGGAAGCAGAGACCTGCCCGGTCCCAAGGACATGAGCAGGAATAGAAAGCAAGTGGGGTCGCCTGGGTGTCAGAAGTCACACCCTCATGTGATAGGACCAGGGACCATCAGATAAGCATGGGGAGCAGGTAGGTGAAGATGGAAGGGCACCTGAGTCACGCACACTAGGATGCACAGAGGAGTCACTGTGGTGATGGCAGTGGTTGCTGATCCAGGCTGGGGTGCATTCTCATGCCAGGCCCTGGGCTTGGCATTCACGTACATTTCCTCACTTCTCACAAACACTGTGTTTGTTTACTAGGGCTATCATATCAAAGAACAACAGACTAGGGAATTATTTAACAGCAAGGATTTTTCTCCTAGTTCTGGAGGCCAGAAGTCTGAGATCAAGATGTCAGCAACGTTGCTTTCTTCTGAGGCCTCTCTCCTTGTCTTGCAGCTAGCCCTCTTTCCCCTGTGTCTTACATGGTCTTCCCTCTGTACCTCTGTCCTAATCTTCTTTTCTTATAAGGACACCAGTCATGTTGGATTGGAGCCCACCCTAATGACTTCACTTTAACTTAGTTGTTTAAACAACTTATCTCTAAATGCAGTCACACTCTGAGGTACTGGGAGTTGGGGCTTTGACATATGAATTTGGGTGGGGGAGGGACACCTTTATTTGTTCAGTAGCTCCTGTCATGTACCAGGCACTGGTGGTAGAGCAGCAAGCAAATCAAAGTCCCCTTCTTCATGAAACTGATATTCTACCGAAGGAAGGCTGATAAAAAAAATCCCATATGTTGGTTTGGATTAGGTTCTATAAAGAAAAATAAAGCAGGGTATGAAGGCAGAGAATGCAGGGGACAGCTGGATTTCCTGTGTTCCAAATGAGAGTCAGGGAGGCTTCTGATGAGCAGAAAGCTGAACAAAATGATGGAGGAAGTGGCAGTGGGGTATGTGGGAGAGAGAAGAATCAAGGGTGAGATGCAGGTTTTTGGCCTGAGCATCTGTGTGAAAGGGGGGTGTCATGGACCCTGATGTGGAGGACTGCAGGAGGAGTGGGACTGAGCCTTGAGGAGAAGTGAAGACTGGAAATTAGAGAGGCTGGCTAGAGGTCCAGCTAGTCACCATCTCAGCTCATGCCTGCCGCCCCCCGCCCCCAGCCCAGCCCAGCCCTGTCGTGGCCTCCGGAAGGGCACCACACCATGATGGCCCACCTTTGCCCACTGCACGCAGCGGGCCCAGGGCCTCCCCACCTAGAACCAGTGCCTAGAGACCCACACCAAGCAGCTAGGTGTGCCCTGGAGGGAAGCCGGGTGGCCGGCAGGCAGCCACGGCACTGAGCTCTGGGTTCTTTCAGGAAACACAGCAGCGGTGAGCAGGAGACCAGCACGCTGCCCTCACCGCCCCTTCTCACTGCAGTGGACGACGTGAACCAGGTATGTGGGCCCCGCTCTGGCCACAGAGGGCTGGCTTCATGGGTACAGACCATGGGCAAGGTTCTAAACCCTTAAGTTTTAAGAGTTGTGTGGGGTTTTTTATGGTGAACAACTCTCTCCCTGTGGTTTTTGTCTAAATGATCAGCCATCTCAGCAGACTCAAGAGCCATGTGCAGAGGGAGTTCTGGGGCTGTGCTGTCCAGTATGATGGCTGTCAGCCCATGTGGCTACTTAAGTTGAAATTACTTAAGTGTGAAGATTGAGCTCCTCAGTTGCACCCGCCATGTGCAGTGAGCAGCCGCTGTGCTGGATGGCGTGGACAGAGCACGTCTGTGGTCTCATGCTCTGCTGGACGTGCTGCTCCAGGGCTGTGGGGAGGGCTGGGGCTTGCACCCTGTTTCCTCAGTGGGAATGAGGACTGGAGACCAGGGGAGGTGGGAAAGGAGGATGAATTGCCAGAAATGCCACTAAGCACCCTCTTTTGTCTCTCAGGATAACAAAACCAAAACGTGGCCACCCAAAGCCCCCTGGCAGCACCCTTCCCCGCTGCCCAGCACCCTGCCTGGCCCATGACTGGATCTCGGGAATGTCACCTCTTCCAGGATGGCTAGATGGTTTGCTTCACCAATACGGCTGCACCTGCAGCTTGGTTCTAATGCCCACCCTAACCAAGCACATTCTGTGTAATATGGAATCTATAATTAAAAGTCTGGATATACAAAGGGATGTAGTAAAGGGCAAAAAAAGGGAAGGGAGAGCCAAGCAATGCAGCAGAAACGGCAAGTCCAACATGGTCGCCGCCCAGGCAATCCCCGGGGCCACTGGCCACCCATGGATGATGCCCATCGGACCTGGCCTTTCCCAGAGTTCTTTGCAGAAGGGGATGGCCTGCACAGCGGCTGGGCAGGGGCTCAGGGAGACTCAGCCAGCTCGAGTGATGAGACATCCTCTGCCAATGGGGACAGCTTGTTCTCCATGTTTTCAGGGCCTGACCTCGTTGCTGCTGTCAAGCAGAGAAGGAAGCACAGCAGCGGTGAGCAGGAGACCAGCACGCTGCCCTCACCGCCCCTTCTCACTGCAGTGGACGACGTGAACCAGGATAACAAAACCAAAACGTGGCCACCCAAAGCCCCCTGGCAGCACCCTTCCCCGCTGCCCAGCACCCTGCCTGGCCCAAGTGCACCACTCTATGCAGTCGCCAGCCCCGGCAGCCAGTGGAGCGACACCATGCAGATGCTGCAGTCCCCGGTGTGGGCCGCCACCAGTGACTGCAGTGCTGCCTCCTTCACCTACGTGCAGCCCCCGCCGCAGCCCCCGCCCCCACCAGCACACAAGGCAGCCCCCAAGGGCTTCAAGGCCTTCCCTGGGAAGGCTGAGCGCAGACCGGCCTATTTGCCCCAGTACTGACCCCGGGCCTGCCTGCCTGCCCGCCCAGAGCTTTTGGGGACAGGGGCCCCAGCCCAGGGCTGACTGGCTGGCAACAGCCCCCCAGAGGACCAGTGCACCCCTGTCCCAGGCAGGGATCCTTGGGGATGGAGGTAGTTGGCAGCTCCAAGCCTTTAAGGCCTGGCTTCTCAAAACTCTGGAGGCATCAGACACCTGGAGGGCCAGATGAAGATGGAATTTTCTGACCCTCCTCAGGGAGGTGCTGGGGGATCTTCGAGTTTAATAAGCACCTCTGGTGATTCTGATGCAGGTGGGCCACTGCCCACACTTTGAGAAACACAGCTCTCAAGTTTGTAGACCCCACTGTGTGTGTTGGGAAGGCATTGGGGCTGAAGGCTGAGAGCAAAACTGACCATTCTTCTGAAACCTTCCCTTTCCCTCCTTAACACGTTGAGTGATGACCACACCAATCACTGTATTTTATAGCTATTTTTCATATAGGTTTTTAGTTAAAATATCTCCTGCCTAAAATGCATTGAATATTTTAAGATAACAAATAGAGTGGCTGGAGGTTTTTCAACACTATATTTAAGCTTCTACAAACTGGGCAAAGGACAGCATATTTGTGATGAGAAGCAATCACCTGGGTTTTCTGTAGATGGACAGCCCCTCGCCACCCCCAGCAGCACCCAAGGGGTGTGACCTTCACCTGATTTACAAAAGCAGGATCATAGCCCTGATGGTGCATGGAGATGAGCCCGCTGGCTGCTGTCCGTATGCGGGATACAGCTACACCTTCTGCCCTCATATCTTTCCACACACGGCCAGAGGCTTAGATACCGTTTCGGAGCGTGAGGGTGTAGTCGGGGGCTGCAGAGAGACACTTGAAATTGCAGTAACATTGTGAGCTGGCTCAAGACAAACCAATTAAGATGTAGATAGGTATTAATTTAAAAGTTTTTCTTTAAAGAAAAAAATAAACCACCTCATTTTCAGATTAAAAAAAAAAAAAAAAAGGGAAGGGAAGAAAGCACATTCACTTTGAGGGCTGAAGAAACCACCAGACTGCTCATTCCCTATTTTTTCTCCCTTATTCATGTCTCTTACCACCTCATTTTCAGTTAACATGTGCTGTTAAATAGATAACATCCTGTGGATTTAGGGATATTTTTCCAGCCAGAATGGATCCAGAAGAATTGAATGGTGCTTAAATTGAGAAATAATAAATATATCTATATAGACTAGACATATCCCACTGTATATTAATTGAGGTTACAGAAGTTCTTTATATAAAACTTATTTAAATTTTTCATATTTCATCTTTGAAAAAGTCTAATTGAGAAAAATCCATAATATTTTCTGGTATGAAAGTTTGACAGTATTAATATTTTTTTTTATATTTTCTTAAATCATTAAACCATTTTAATATATGTTAACTACTAATAAATGGTTTATTCTTTCTAACTCCATATAAGCTTTTCCAGCAAAGATTGTAATAACACAGTTATGTTCTCATTTTTCTATGAATATAGGTAAATTTATATTTAAAAATACCAAAAAGAATATATATATATATATGTATGTAGACACACTAATTATAGAGGACCCTTAGGGTGTCTGAGCCCAGCCGTCTGAATCTTTAGTACTGTGGTGCCAGGCTGTCTCCAGGCCTCGGGTGTTGTCTTCTGTGCTGAGTGGGGATGTCAGTGCTGCCTGTAGTCATCATCCTTTCACCGTGGGTTCTGAACATTCACCTCACCATGTTTACAGAGAACTATTTTGTACATAGACTTTTCAGGCACGTGCTTTGCACCAACCCTGCGTGGCTCTTGTCCGTGTTAGCCGTCACAGTGTGTGTACTAATGTCTGTTGAAGTTGTCTGTGGCTGTTTACTTGTGAGATAGTTTTCTTCTCTCCTTCAGTAATGTGTCTCCAGTACCCCGTGTTTCGAGTTCTATTATACTGAAGTACCCTTGTTTTAATAGTGCCTCCCCAAAGACCTCACCCTGGACAGAGGTCAGTCCTTTATGCTCCAGCGCAGGTGACATCAGCATTGCTAACTGTCACTTTCCAGTCTGTTTTTCTCAATTAAGGAAGACATTTTGTAATTGCGTCTCCATGGGCTGTGAGACTGTGTGAAGCTGTCTGTGTAGTCTCCTTGTGGGTGCTGTGTTCTCAGCACCGCCTTGCTCTGAACACTGGTAATTCCAGGTGCTGCGCTCGGCAGAGGGGTCTCGCCAAAGCGCATGTGTGTGCGTGTGTGAGTGTGTGTGTCCTTTGTGTGGCCAGGCTTGGCTGCCTTGCTCGTGTGACTAGTTACAACGCTTCCAAACTGGAACTCTACATTTTGTATCTTACTTTTAAAGCTCCTATAAGTAAAATAACTATTGGCTTTATTAAAATATACCTTTAATAATTTTCGGATCTCTGTGTAAAATGAACTGCAGCAGATAATCATGTCAGAAGCCCTGTCTAATTCATTACTTTGAAAAGCTGCACACGAATAGGTTTTTAGGTCAGCCTGTCCTCTGACTCTGAGCCCTTGCAAGGGTAATACCTCTGGGGGTATTAGGATAAGCTGGGGCATGGGGGGCGGTGCTGGCGTACAGAAAGTGGGACGGCCTACCACATCTCTCCTGTTGGCTTCCCTGAGGCCGAACCTGGAAGAGCCTCTCTGGTCAGAGCCACTGTTGTGGTGAAGGAGGCCACCTGAAGAATGCGGACTCTTCTTGGGTTGTGGTCTGCCAACACACATTCCACCAAGTGTGGGCACTTGTAGGCTGCCCAGCCAGCCTTTCCAAGAGGCAGACCCAAGGATGGGCTCTCCCCTCACTCCGTCAGGGACCCACCATGTGGCAGGCCCTCCCTCATAGGTACAAGAAGGACTAGTCGCACTGGATGGTGCCATTCTGCTGTGGAGAAGGAAAGATTGTAAAGTGGGAACCAAAAGGAGGGGGAGTTACAGGGGAGTTTGAACTCATTTTCACTTACAGCAAGACAGCATTTGATGGAAACTTTTTCCATGAACTTAAGAAAATGGAGTAAATGAGTATAAATATATAACCTACCAGTACACAAGTACCACTCTGGCTTCTTTCTGCTGAGACTCCCAGAAGCTGAGCATGGGGACATTAAATACACCTCAGGACAAGGTTACTTAGTAACAGCCATGTTGTATGAGTATTGCTAAGGAAGACACTGAAAATTCATATTAAAATGCTAGCCAGAACATTTTATAAATGTTAAACATTTATAACAAAAGGTAAACATTTTATAGTGTTTAAAATGTGAGCACATTTTATTCATACGTGTTCCCATTTAACATTAGTACCCAGTGCTGTTCTCCAGACAAGAACACTGGAATGGAGTTGCTGTGCCCCCCTCCAGGGGATCTTCCTGACCCAGGGGTTGAATTTGCGTCTCTTACATCTCCTGCATTGGCAGGCGGGTTTTTTTTACCACTAGCACCACCTGGGAAGCCCATATTCTTGCCTGGAGAATCCCATAGACAGAGGAGCCTGGAGGGCTACAGAGGGTCTCAAAGTGTCAGCCACAACTGAAGTGACTTAGCACCCACACACGCACCCACGCACATGGTCCTGTTCACTGACTTCTAATTGACAACAGTGCTGGAGACAGGAGTCCTATAAACCCAGCTCTGTCCTGAGTGGGTGGGGATGGAAGCACACAGATGTTCACCAGAGCCTCAAGAAGGTCCCTGGGGGCTTTGGCTCAGCTGAGAAATGGAGGAGGACACACAGTCAGGTCCTTATGAGGCTGGTGACCCTCCTTTTCCATCGGGTTCCTGGGAGAGTGGGCATCCAGCTCTGGGAGTGTAGCTGAAACTATGCATCCCAGCCATGGTGCTGGGAAAGGACAGCCCACTGCGTGACCCCTCTTGTGATCTGCTTCCTGATGTGGAGACAAGAAATAAACCCTGCCAAAGGTCAGCTCCTTGATTCCCAAAAAGACATGTATGTGGACAAGTGAGTGTCAGGGTCTCAACCACATGTGCCTGGGAGTCTGAGGAACCTCTGGGGCCAGGCTCTTGGAAGTAACACAAACAGATGGCCTTAGGATCCACAGGGGTTGGCTGGCTGGGCCCAGGCCTCTGCTTGTCTATGAGGGGGACTGTATTTGGGCCTAGGTGAGGAGGAAGGATTGTTTCACGAGTGTCATATTCATTTCAACATTTCCTATTGTCAGGCTCCTGGCTAGTATAGGAGCCAGGCTGCATATAAAATGAAGTCTCTGCCCATAAACTCTGTCTTTTAGGGAAGACAACTCCCTCTTTCCCATTCTTGGTAAGAGATACACATTCAAGCACTCAATGCTCAGGCAGAAATCCTAGAAGACACTTTTGATGTTTACTCTCCTCTTTCACTTAATTAGCAACTCCTACACGTGCTGCTGTGGTCTTCCCTGGTAGTTCAGCTGGTAAAGAATTCTCCTGCAATGCAGGAGACTCCAGTTTGATTCCTGGGTCGGGAAATTCCCTGGAAAGGGATGTGCTACCCACTCCAGTATTCTCAGGCTTCCCTGGTGGCTTAGACGTCAAGAATCCGCCAGCAATGCAGGGGACTCCGCTTCAATTCCTGGATAGGGCAGATTCCCCTGGAAGAGGGCATGGCAACCCACTCCAATATTCTTGCCTGGAGAATTCCACGGACACAGGAGCCTGGAGGACTACAGTCTATAGGGTTACACAGAGTCGGCCACGACTGAGCGACTAAGCACAGCACAGCACAAGTGCTTCTGCAAGCATATTTCAATTCCACCAAGTTCTTACATCTCCACTGCCATCAACCTGGTCCTCCCTATCTCCTGCCTTTCCTTCTGAGGCCTAACGTCTCCTGTACACCCCTGCTACCTCGATGAAGCCTACCCACGGTGCCCACGTGCCTGGGCCTTTCCATCAGTTTCTGTGCGGCCAGAGCTCAGCCTCTACCCGGCCTTGTTTAGTACTCCGCTAAAATGTGTGTTTGCGCATGTCCCTCTCACCAGAATCAAAGCCTCAGTAGAGCAAGGAGCAAGTCTTGTTCATGGCCACAAGTGCAGGGTGCAGAACAGCGCGAAGCAACTCCAGATAATACACACGAAATGAGGTGCTGCTAAGGCCAGAGGCAAATTCTAATACAAAACCAAAACACAGAGCTAGACTTGAAT